TAGTGTACACAAGTAATAAATATATAATTTAAACTAACACATTAATCATAAGAGATTTTAAGAAAGTTTCAATGTATAAAAATATAAACTTATTGAAAAATGCATAGTGGAAAGGACTAGTTTTGGAAAGTAGACAAAAATATCGCAGTTGGCAAAGAATAACAGAAAAACAATTCTGTGACAGTCCATCCTTTTAAAGAAACAAAAGCAAAATATTTTTTTAAAAATATACAGTATAAAAACAAGAGTGACAAAAATTGAGAGAAAAACTTTTGGATGTCCCCTATTGTTGTTTATGAATAATATTTTGGTCCCTTGGATCATTTAAATCTATCAATAACACCGTTTTTGTATAACTGAAGTCAATACCATCTTCCAATTATTTTCATCATGCAGTATTGTTTTTTGATTTACAGAATGTAAACGTTAGTCCAGAAATAATATCGGTTCAATGATATACCATATTTCAACGAGATGATTCAGGTTCTTATTTAGGTTATACTTAGAGCAAATAAATTATAATATGCAATATCAATAAAAAAATACAATATATAAATTTAATATTAAAAATAATAGTAATAGTACTGCGGTCTTTTAGAAAATACTTTTAATTAATTGATTTTTGAGGTATAAAAAATATTTAGCATCAACTAGAATAATTTATTTTGCGTTTAAAGTGAAGTTATTACTTTATATATTTTACGATTTTTCAAAATGAAATATTAATACACCTTCGAATCCTTAATAAGTATTATAAATCCATAACTATAAATATCAGACACTTTGAGGTTTCACAGAATTTTATATTTTCAAAACCACTGATTATTATCCAAAAATAATTTGAATGTAATGTAATACCTACGCTGTATTAACTGTTTAATTGGTTAAAGACCTAAACGCAATTAATTGGACTATTTAACTGTTTGCATGGTGGTTAAAAGGATTCTATAAAAATGTGATTGCGTATTGCTTCATTATAATGGTTTTATAAAAATATGTTCTGATTGCGATAACATAATAATATGTCATTACATAATATGGTATAATAATATAATATACTAAGTATTGTCATAAATATAGTTATGTATATTTTTGTCCATCGTATTATATAAATTATCAGATTTGTTAGCTTTGACATAGGTTAACAAATTTCGAGCAATTCGTAATTTGTATCGAATTATAGTACATTTCATAAATGTGATAATTATTGTCGAAGAATTATGGTGTAGAACAAAATTATATTACACTAATTATTGAAAATATAAATGTATTAATTTTAATTTCAGTAGAAATATAATATATATCATGACATTGTGCTCAATATAATATCGTAAAACAACATATCGAATACGATAAAACGAAAACGTGTTATAATTTTATAATAATTTCAACCAACCAAATGCGAAAAAAATAATTTATCATTATTCTCAGTGTATTTCCATTAGCTTTTTGTTTTTTTTTTTTTTTTTGTTCGGTGCGTAAAGAGGCCAAAAAGGTTATAAAATTCTCGTGCCAACATCGAAGTCCTATAAAATGTCCCGATGAGAAATGCTGACGCAAGCAAAACGAGTTTTGTATTATCCGGACGGTGTGTCGGTAATACGGTGTTTCGATGGACCACTACTAGACATCGAGCTTCCATTTTTAGACGACACAAATGCGTTCACGTGAGAATGTCATCGTCTCTATACTTCAGCTCTTAAATAGCTTTCAAAGAAACTGCTGTGGCAAAGGTGTGGCAGTGGGCCCTGTGTGCTGCTAACGCATCTAACAAACTACCCACTCCCGTCATTTCTTCCGGTCGTTTATGGCACACAAACACCTTCCACGTCTGCAGAGTTATCTCGGAAAAACAAGTTTTCTTTTTACTCTTACTTTCAAAAAGTACCTTTTACGCAAGACTCGGACACATAACGTCATTCCATATTAACACTGGGGCGTTGTGTACACCAGTAGTCCAAATATTTAAACACTAAACTCAACACAATAAACAACGGTCTTTTATATATACGTTGAAATAATATATACTACAATATTGTATTAAGTATGAACATTTAGTCAATGTTTTGAATCTATAATTCAACGCAACTGTAAATGACCTTATCTATATATATATATTTTAATATTCAACTCCGTTTGTATTATAGTGGTTATCATAGTGGTTAAACCATTTTCTGACGATTGTACTCATCACTATACCAATAGTATAAACGGTATATTAAATTGGTCGACAACTTTGTAAAAATATTTGGTATGTTCAAACAGTTAATTAATTAAATTCTGAAATTTTTACAGTTCAAGTTCCAACAAAGTATTAAAATGGTATGGATTTTCTGTGTCTCGAAAATTGATTTAAAAGTAAGTTTCTATTTATTATATTCGGTTAATTATTTAATTTTAATCTAGTTTTTTTTATAATAATTTATACACGTGTTCTAAATTAGATAATGGAATAAAAGTGAATACGTACAAGATTCAACATTTTACATGGATTGTCCAAAATAGTACCCTTCGGAATTTCTCTTTAATATATAAGTATTTAAACTATTAACAAAATATAAGTCATGTAGATTTTTTTCGAAGTGTGATATATTATACAATTGATTTAAAAACAAACTGTGGGTCAATTTATTATTAAAAAGTGTTATTCAAAATAAGCAAAGAATATTGTATTTATTAATCAATATGCTTAACATCGAAACAATTTTTCTCTAAAGATGAGTGTTACGAATTTATTATAATAAAAAACATCTGAATATATGATATATCATATATCAGAAATAAATTTGAATTAGAAACTGCAATCATATGCAGTATATTTAAATAGAAATACTTAAATTTATTTATGAACAACATAAAATTGTATTTTTATTTTTTAAATAATAATATCATTTCCTATATACTTAGTTAATTTGCAATTACTTGTTTAAATAATAGTTTGTTTGATTTGGTAAGGCCTTGGCATAGTTTATACTATGATAAAACGCACATCAAATATTAGACTTATACAATCACACTACAATACAAGAGTGGTATTTTATATTGTTCCAGATATCTCAATTGGACTGCACCAAACTATAATAACATTGTATTGTACCAACACGAGTTTTACTTTCTACCTAGATGTCAAAAGTACTTAAGTAGTAAGTGATAATATAACAGACTTATAATATATAAGGCATAAATGAGATTTCAACCAAAGTATAATTATTTTATACAGCAATTGAACAAAAAATCTACACTTCGCACGTTGTTATTCGTACTGCATCATCGTATTAAATTTCATATAAAAAAAAAAATTATTACTAACGTGCAACTATAATATTATTGCATCATAAAAATAAAACTGTTTTAACACATTTTAGTATACGAACACACACATAATATAATGCATTCCGAGTATAATAATGTTCGAGACGTACCGATATTTCGATTTACACTCTCTGATATCCTGGCGAACTGTTAACATGTTTTAACCGACAAAAGCACGCAATAATATTTCGATCTTACTACGGTTAAGTTCACAAGTAAACACACGCACCCACACTCTCGTACAAGCGTTTTGTCCAGACCGGGCCAAAGACATTTACCGTAGTCGGACTCACGGGTTCTAATTTATATGTGACGGTTTTACAACCGATTCGATTTTCTCAACATTTATTACGCAGCATGATGGAACAGGACGTGGGAGACAAGGAGCAGGGACACGATAGTACAACGCCGCCGGACAAGTGGCAACGGTGGAAGGGCAAATCGGCAATTTACCGGGCCCGAATACCCTCTTTGACCCCACCACCGTCCGCTCCATCAAACCATAATCCGCATTCACATACACCCACCTACCCCATATGGTGTGTCTTTCCACCTCACCATGCTTATACCCCTCCACACGAGTATCCATTATATACGGTATTGGTATCGGTTTCAATTTTCTATCGTCGGCTGCATGCGCTATCAAGGGAACGATAACTTGTGTGAATTTCGTTTTCGGTTGTCCCCATATCCCAATCGTCGCCACGGCCAAACACTTACGGAATTTGGACTTACAGAGTTGTACGTGTGTTATGTATGAGTATGTGTATGTGTGTGGGTGAGAGAGAGAGAGACAGAGATACGCGTTGAGAAACTTGGAAGCTCTTGGGAGTTTTCACTATATGCGCTTCGGCCACTTAAACCAGAGCCCCAGATGTCAAATTGAATTCCGGTTCTGTTTAATTGGTTCCGGGAGCATAATGAACCCGGACATGGAAGGCGCATACAAAAGACCAGCGCTTTTGCAAAGTGGCGGTGATAGTGGACACATACAGTAATACTCCCGGTCACTTTTCCGGTGGAAGGTCACCTATTTGGCCATAAAGATAACGCAGAAAATGTAGGTGCCAGTGAGTGAGTAATATTTGAAAACCAAAAGAAAAATTCATAGGTGTATGTGTTGTGAAAAAGATCTCCAATAACCCTACGGTCTTGGTTCATTTAGACAAGTTGTTACAGTTAATGAGTAGTTTATACAGTATTTAATTTAGAGAACCATATTGTTATAATAACCATATCGAGTATAAAATATGTGAGCTTTTATGCAAATAAATAGTGGTAGTCAAAAATTAAATTACGTAAGTTCTATCTTAACCTTCTAACCCAGAATAGCATTTAGAAATTATTATTATGCATTGTAACGTTTTGTTTCCTGTAATAAAGCTTCAGCTTACACCTAACTTTTTAAACTATAATAATATACTTTGCGTATGTGTTGGTAACATATAAAATATCACACTTCAACTTTTTACCATAAAGTAGTCACAACCTAGTTTTTGTTTTTTTCTGAAATCAATATTTCCAAAATATTCTTTAATTATTTAATGGAATATACTTTCTACAAAATATTATAGGAATGTGTTATCAAATAGATATAACTTAATATAATAATATCTACGTTCTTTAAATATATTTATTTAAAACATCTTATAAACCATTTAAAATGCTGTTCTATATGGATACGATAGCGATAAATTATTATATTGATTAAACCAAAATGCAATGGATACACGTCTTAATAATTTTAACTCTAGTAGTTAATGTCAGTCTATTGTTTTTCATATCATTTATGTAATTTATATGTATTTGCTATTCTTTCTGTGTTAAAAATGTATTGTATTGTATATTTTTTATGCTATTAAGGGCGTCGGAGCCGGCCCGTTTTTACTACAAAAACATGTCTTATAGGAAAAACCCTCACGTAGAATCGTAGGATTTCTTTAAATTTTTTTATTTAAAAGAAGAGAACATTTTGCAGGTCGGGTCAAAGCCTGATTTTCAATATTGTGTTTATAGAATCAAAATTCGACATAGGTACCAACGACGCGTGATAGATTTTATTACGATGTTATTTTTGTTGATACACAATCCCCCCCCCCCCAAATAGATATCGGTGAATTTATTAGAAGAAAATATTATATTTAAGGCGGCAACTATAATATAAAATACAATTTTAAAATGTTAGAGAATCGCGGGAAAATTGGAAAAACTAGCAGCGACTCCCTTGAAGTTTATGTTTATTTTAAAACATACATTTTTAATAGATTATAAAAAAATGGTGAAGGCACGGGTGGTGAGAGTAAGCGGTATTAATAGGGAGGTTTATTATTTGGTTTTTTAAACAGGTTAGGCATTATCTAGTCTAGTACTTAAATTATAGTATAATATTATTTACTTACATCTTTGTAAACGATGATCTGTACTTTGATGTTATATGGGAATGTAAGGACCAAACTTTTTGGGGTTTCATGTTAACGATGCTCGTTATACTCTTTCAAAAAATGAATTTGTACATGGTAGCTTATTTTTACGGTACATGAATGAATATTACATTAATTTAATTTTCCGTTTATAGTGTCGAGGAACCTGTTCAAAGTTCAACGATTACATGTTTTACATGGCTTATACAATCTGTTTTTACACTGCGATCGAATAAGTAGGTAATCAAAATGTCATATTTGAACAAGTTGGGTACTGAGTAATCATTTGTAAAATCTGCGCTCGTTGACCGTGCGTTAAAGGCTTTTGTAACCTTTCGTGTATTTGGAAAGCGCTATCGATATTCGATAGTGTGGGAGAACTAATTATTAGTTTGGTGGATAGTGAGGAAAACTGAAAATTAATAGTGCATGCTAATTGCTAAGTCTCCTTATTGTATCAAATGTACCTTTTAATATTAGATATATGGTAGGAGAAGGAATATAATATTTTAATTGGTCAATGGATAATGATGCAGATTGATGGTCTAAAATAGTATAAATTATGCTACTAATTACTTTGTTTTCATGACTGTATTATGGGTGGAGGAGTATGTTTTTATTGATTTGTTAATTTGTGTCTTTGATTAATATAGTTAATACATAACTCGAGTATGTAATATTGCCTATCGATCCATCGGGTTTCTATTAAATGTGTTAAAATGTCAATTACCTACATATTATGATACATTGGCTTATTGTACTACTATGGTAGCAGTACATATATTATTACATATTTGTATGCAATTTGTATTGACAATATTGTACTGTAAAATTATATTTAATTGAATCGATGAAATTCTGACATTCATAACAAAAATGGTTCACCCATTTATATATAATAAATATAATGTTTATATTAATTATCCTGAACATTATTATTTTTTACTATTATCTGATTATTACAATGGACGTTAACGTCATTGCCACAACACCAGCGCATATTATATAATAGACAAATTAACAATATCTCTCATGTTACCTTCTTTTTTCACCACCCCAAACGGTACAGTACCATGTTCACGGAACAACACATCAGTCCGTTGGAATTGGCATCCAAATTTGTGAACAAGCCTGAAAATTATACGTCATGACTCATGACAAAGTCCACCAACGTGGAGTAGACGCCCCCATTCGACTCTGAGGTGGGACAGTCAACTAATACGGGGTTTTTGTGAAACCATTAGGTAATTTAATGTGCTGTGTGTCTGGCCGGTTTCCACCGTAGAGATATTTTTTACCTTTTTCTCTTATCATTATTACCTATTATTATTAATTGTTCTGTATATTATAATTTATAAGTAATTTAACCTCTGCGCGAACAAGCATTCAAACCCCCTTGTTTAATCTTCTATTATTATTATTATTATTATTATTATTGATTACATATGTATTGTATAGAATACACTCAATGTTATTACATACTTATAGAATAAACGATTGTCAGCTTTATACAATATTATGGTATTATAATAATTGTATAACTCTGTAGATATACAAACTGATTTGATTATTATCGATATTATTGTTATTAATTGGTATATCACAGTTTTTCATTTTCAATTATTTTATTAAATTATAATATTATGTTCTTCTTTGGTGAATTTTTCACATCCGTCCCAAATTTCCATTCACTGCCATAATAAAATTCTTGAATACATATTTTCATACAGTCAATTTTTATTATTTTCATTTAATTTAATATTACTTTCTCTACATTTAAAATAAATTATGAATTCAAGAAAACGTATTATTTTTTTAAAATATATTATAGTTTAAAACAATTTCCAATAGAAACATTTTTTTTTCCATTGCTAATATCAATTCCATTTAATTTGCAAATAAAATCGTATGGGCTGTATAACTTGAAAATATTATAATTAAATCAATGATTCTTTTTAATCTGTCCTGTTTCTCAACTAGAATAAAATAATCGAATCATCTGCAAGACAAGGGATTTTATTATCTGTCGCATCCTGATTTGGTAACCGCTTGTATGATTTATATAATTGCCTCTTGTGGTACGCTAAATTCAGTTATAATAGAATTGATGTAAACATTTAACATTAACTTTAGCTGACGGTTTTGTTTAAAATATATCTTAACATAACTCCATAATAGTAAACTTTCTGATTAAAATATAAATTACAGCAATGGGTCGTAGTTTGTAGTACCAGTCTTGGAATGATTTGAATTTCATATGGATATTTTTTAATTGGGTTTTAATCCAGTTTTCTAGAAGGGGTATCCTTGGAAATAAAACTTTTTATCTGTGTATTATGTTCATACTAAATTTTTAAAATGAAAAACTCGACCCATATTATTAATTTATTTCATACAATACAATATCGGTTACCTACCTATGTCGTTTAATGCTATCAAGGTTTAAGGAGCACTAATACTATACAAATGTACATAGTCATATATATATCAAAAGGAGGTTAGAATAATTTTATACAATGAACTTGTTATTTTAATATGACCACTCCATTTTTATGTTCAAAAAAATTCATTTAACGATTAATTATTATTAATAACATTTTATCGATTAATTGTATTATGTAATTTAACGGTTTGCAAAAACTTTGTAGAATGGGGATTAGTTGATTATATGGTAACTAATTTGTATAGTATTAATTTGGATGGATCATTGTTGTAAATACATTTAATGTTTAATCCTTTTTATATTGATTAGGAAAGTAATAATTATAATTTAATATATAGGTAATATTGGAGGCCAGAGTATATTACTATAGAATTATAATTTATGATCTGCTATTATACATAGTTGTTAAGTTTATCGTAAGTATTGAGCTAACGTTATTATCATCTATCTTATAAAGTTAAAATATTTTTAAATTACATTTGAATGCATAAAAAAGTTTTATATACCAACACACATTTAATTACCTAACAAACAAGCATATTATATTATACAGATATGTACTTAATAACCTGTCATAATACTAATCATAATTTTATAAAGCACTATATTAATTGTGTTAAAAACAAACAACCAGAGCTAATTTGATTTGATCAACATCGTAATTTCAAGTACCTATATATTATAATAACTGTTTAATACATTATAGACGAGAAACTTTTTTTCCCAATTTACTAAGTTGGATTGAATCGATTCTCTAGTTTTTATCTCTGTCCCCTGTAAAAGACCTTTATTAT